AGATGCGTCAATACCTGCATTAGGAGATCTGAAGTCTAGGTTGTTTACGTGCCCACCTTGGACCATAATATCACGTCCCAACACTTCGGTCAAGCCAGACACACGTCTCAGTTTGTCTTAGTACAGGACATGTGAGATAAGACACAGTGCAACTTTGGATTTTTTGGATTATTGAAACGTATCGCTACACGGGTAGCCTTTTCAGTGAAAATAAGATGATGTAATCAATCTCGTCAACCTAGGAGAAGTTTTAGTTGGTCGTCCATCAGGCTTGTGAAGATTCACACTCATTGAATTTCATTTTTTTGAGTAACTTTGATTACATCAGTGTAGAGCATCCTTGACAGGTGATGTACAGGTGATATCCACCCTTAACCTCCGTGTAGTAGATAGATTTGAAACCCAATTAACCACCTGAGGAACGCCAACATTTGAATTCAACGATATAGCTCTTACCTTATGTGTTCTGTTGATTAAAATTACAATTAAAACACTTGACACCCTGGTGAGTGTGCTGACAGCTGTGTGGTGGTGCTGACAGCCTTAGTGCGCAGCTGTGGTGGTAGTCTGACAGCCTGTGGTGGTGACAGCTGTGGTGTGCGACAACCTTGTGGTGGTGCTGACAGCCTGTGGTGGTGCTTGACAGCCTGTTGGTGGTAGTCTGACGCTGTGGTGTGCTGAAGCCTGTGGTGATCTGACACCTGTGTGGTGGTGCTGACAGCCTGTGTGGTGGTGCTGACAGCCTGTGTAGTGGTGCTGACAGCCTGTGGTGGTAGTCCTGACAGCCTGTGGTGGTGCTGACAGCCTGTGGTGGTGCTGACACCCTGTGTGGTGGTGCTGACAGCCTGTGGTAGTCCTGACAGCCTGTGGTGGTGCTGACACCCTGTGTGGTGGTGCTAACATCCTGGAGTATACCTAGAGATGATTTCAGCGGTCAGCGCCCTGCGGCCCGGTCCATGACCAGGCCTCGTGGTGGATCAGGGCCTGATCAACCAGGCTGTTACTGCTGGCCGCGCGCAAACCGACGCACGAACTACAGCCCGGATGGGCTGTCCAGTGCCTTCTTGAAGACAGCCAGAGGTCTGTTGGTAATCCCCCTTATTTATGCTGGGAGACAGTTGAACAGTCTTGGGCCCCTGACACTTATTGTGTTTCGAGAATGGGTTAATTTGTAAATGTTACAGCTCCTCTTAGCGGGTGAATGTTATTGCGTGGGCAGCTTAGTAGTAAGTGGATAACTTGTTATGTTCCCCATCCGAAAGTTATGTCTTTATAGGATCATTTGCTAGCCTGAATTAATGGGCTCGTTCTTTAGTTTTTGTTTATAGGCTCATTAGCTAGCCTGAATAGACTCATTCTTTAGTTTTTGTTTATAGGCTCAATAGCTAGCCTGAATAGACTCATTCTTTAGTTTTTGTTTATAGGCTCAATAGCTAGCCTGGATAGACTCATTCTTTAGTTTTTGTTTATAGGCTCATTTGCTAGCCTGTATTTATAGCCCCATTCTTTAGTCTTTGCTATATAGGCCTATTTACTAGCTTCCATTCATAAACTTATTGTTTAGCATTTATTAGAGGCTCATTTCCTATACATACACACACGATGGTTGTCATTTGAGGAAGTGAAACAAGAGTAAATAATTCATGGTTAGTGGCACTGGGACACAAAAACACTTCCTACGAACTACCGTCAGGCTGAGAAAGCAGGAAGGTGTCTTAGTCTCATCTTGATCCTGGAGACAACCTGCACTTTGTATTAATATTGGTAGAATTACCAACAATATGTTAAGTAAAAGGATATAAATGCAAGTAATGTGACATTGTGGCAGCGTTTCGCTCTCCAGGAGCTTCATCAAGTCGTTGCAAACAATACATGGACACACACGGTATATACAGTCTTAGAGTGAGGTGTAATACTAGAGGTAGTAATGCTAGAGGTATTGTTTGTAAAGGCTTGATAAAGCTCCTGGAGAGCGAAACGTTGCCACAATAAAATGTCACATGAGTTGCATTTGTGTCATTTTACTTAGCCTGCACTTCAGCCTGGCAGGTCCCGCCTCACCACTGTGGCTGAGAGTGACGCCCATGACGTTCCCGAAACTCTGCCTCCAACCCTTTGTACTGATGCTGAAAAATTTTAATACAAGTACTACTATACACAAATAACCCGCACATAGAAGAGAGGAGCTTACGACGACGTTTCGGTCCGATTTGGACCTTTTACAAAGTCACACTAACGAGAAGTAGAGCAGGACGGGTATATATAGGCAGGAAGAGGTAGTAGTAATAGTAATAGTAGTAGTAGTAGTGGTAGTAGTAGTAGTGGTGGAGATGGAAGTAAAAATGGGGAAGTAAGGACGAGGAACCAGTCAAATACAAAGAAAGGGGAGCAGTGCAAGGGAGCTAGGTACCTAGCCCACAAGGGAGCTAGGTGCCCACAAGGGAGCTAGGTGCCCACAAGGGAGCTAGGTGCCCACAAGGGAGCTAGGTGCCCACAAGGGAGCTAGGTGCCCACAGAGGGAGAGCAAGAACACAGAGGTGGGGGGAGGGGAAAATAATGAAATAAAATAAAGAAGGAACAGAAACACAAAACAGAAGGAAGAAAGACAACTCAGAAGAGAAAAAAGGAAAGAGGAAATGGAAAGAGGGAGAAGAAGAAAAAATGAGGAATCAGGTTAAGTCACGGGTGTTGTGAAGTTTGGAACGTTTTACAATGTAGTGGGAGAGGAAGACATCTACAGAGACGAAGCCACGACTAAGATTCATACTAGGAAAGTTGTGTATTAGGGAGGATTCAACCAGACGGCGACTGTTAAGTTGGAAGTTAGGGAAGACAGTTTTTTGTGTATCGTTCCAGACAGGGTATTGTGCCTTTTTTTTTTTTTTTGTTATTCAAGTACTATTATATTATCAGACCGGGCCGAGGGGGCGATGACCCCCGAAATCTTCTCCAGGTATACTCCAGGCAGAAAAAAAGTAATCATTAGTAAAAGCCAGAAATTTATCCGTAAATAAATATATTTGCCTTAACATCATATCAATAAAAATCCAAATAAAAGTAAGAAATATATTTTTTTTCCCTTTTTTTTTTTTTTTTTTTTTTTGAGTAAGAGTCTTCGAGGCGGCCATTGTTGATGTCTGGCGGAGTGTGGCTGGGCCGTTGCTGTCTCTCTTATTGCTTTTTTGATGAGTATTTTGTGGGTAGAAGTGAGAGCCGTGATAACTGAGGTTGACGTAGAAGTGAGAGCCGTGATAACTGAGGCTGACGTAGAAGAGAGCCGTGATAACCGAGGTTGACGTAGAAGAGAGCCGTGATAACTGAGGTTGACGTAGAAGAGAGCCGTGATAACCGAGGTTGACGTAGAAGTGAGAGCCGTGATAACTGAGGTTGACGTAGAAGTGAGAGCCGTGATAACCGAGGTTGACGTAGAAGAGAGCCGTGATAACTGAGGTTGACGTAGAAGTGAGAGCCGTGATAACTGAGGTTGACGTAGAAGTGAGAGCCGTGATAACTGAGGTTGACGTAGAAGTGAGAGCCGTGATAACTGAGGTTGACGTAGAAGTGAGAGCCGTGATAACTGAGGTTGACGTAGAAGTGAGAGCCGTGATAACTGAGGTTTACGTAGAAGTGAAGCCGTGATAATGAGGGGACGTGAAGTGAGAGCGTGATAACTGAGTGAGTAGAAGTGAGAGCCGTGATAACTGAGGTTGACGTAGAAGTGAGAGCCGTGATAACTGAGGTTGACGTAGAAGTGAGAGCCGTGATAACTGAGGTTGACGTAGAAGAGAGAGCCGTGATAACTGAGGTTGACGTAGAAGTGAGAGCCGTGATAACTGAGGTTGAAGAAAAGGGAGGTTCCTTGATGCTGGTTTTGGTGTCTTGATCCAGGGCTCCTCCAGTGAAGTTCCTTGATGTTGGTTATGGTGTTGATCCAAGGCTTCTCCAGGGAGGTTCCTTGATGTTAGTTATGGTCTCTTGATACAAGGCTTCTCCAGGGAGGTTCCTTGATGTTAGTTATGGTCTCTTGATACAAGGCTCCTCCAGGGAGGTTCCTTGATGTTAGTTATGGTCTCTTGATACAAGGCTTCTCCAGGGAGGTTCCTTGATGTTAGTTATGGTCTCTTGATACAAGGCTCCTCCAGGGAGGTTCCTTGATGTTAGTTATGGTCTCTTGATACAAGGCTCCTCCAGGGAGGTTCCTTGATGTTAGTTATGGTCTCTTGATACAAGGCTCCTCCAGGGAGGCTCCTTGATCCAAGGCTCCTCCAGGGAGGTTCCTTGACCCAAGTCTCCTCCAGGGAGGTTCCTTGATCCAAGGCTCCTCCAGGGAGGTTCCTTGATCCAAGGCTCCTCCAGGGAGGTTCCTTGATCCAAGGCTCCTCCAGGGAGGTTCCTTGATCCAAGGCTCCTCCAGGGAGGTTCCTTGATCCAAGACTCATCCAGGGAGGCTCCTTGATGCAAGGCTCCTCCAGGGAGGTTCCTTGATCCAAGGCTCCTCCAGGGAGGTTCCTTGATCCAAGACTCATCCAGGGAGGCTCCTTGATCCAAGGCTCCTCCAGGGAGGTTCCTTGATCCAAGTGTTGGTAAATACCAACACAATAAACACCATGCAACACACCAACATTGCAAACCAGGAAAATTCAAGCTTCTGGAAGCTTGGCCACTCGAGTGATTTTTTCCCCCTAATACAAGCGTCTTATTTACACACATGCATATCTGTCTAGCCACTTATTAAGAGTTAACAAATGTATTAATTAACATTAATGTGGCAACCTTCCAGGTAGACTCCAGGTAGATTATTATTTTACTATTATTAGTGTTACTCTTATTAATATTACTATATTATTATTATTATTTATTATTATTATTATTATTTATTATTATTATTATTTATTATTATTATTATTATTTATTATTAAAGGTAAAGGAACGTTAGTATACAAGAACATGGCCGCCATTGTTTACATCCGGCTGACGTAAGTCATGAAGTTTTGTTTCTCTTTATACTTACTTTTTTCACTGTTTGTCTCATTATTTTTAAGTTGTGTGTGTAGGGTAGAGAGGAGAGGAACCTGTAATAATGACTGAGCTTGAGAAAGTAGTAGCAGGAGAGAGAGGAGCGCCATGACAGCTGAGGTAATGTGAGGAGTCGGGTGTAGACGACGGTCTGATTCTCTGCTGGTGAACGGCTCTTCATCCAGGGAGGTGGAGCAGGCATTCCTCACTGTCCTCGGCTCAAACTTCCCCTCAAGGAAGGTTCCTTGATGTTGGTGAGGGGCTCTTGATTTAGGGAATTGGATCTGTGCTCCAGTTCCCCGAATTAAGCCTGAATGCCTTCCACATCCCTCCCCCCCCAGGCGCTGTATAATCCTCTGGGTTTAGCGCTTCCCCCTTGATTATAATAATAATAATAATCGGCTCAAACTTGATTGATTTTTCGTGTCTCAGGCACTGTATAATCTCTTGATGTACGGTTACCCATTCATCTTTTGCTCGATAATCCACATGGAGACAAAAACTCAGGATATTAATTGTTCTATATAAATAAATAAGCTTATTTAGACACAGGTACATATTAGTGCAGTTACCATACATAGTGTAAATTACCCAGGATAACCCAAAAAAGTCAGTTCTTGATTTCCATTTTGGTCCATCTGGGATCCTCTGCTGAAGAGAACCTCAGTAGGGGTCGAAATATACAGATCAATTAATCTCCTGAGTTTCTGTCTCTGTGAGTCTTTATTGAACATTGATGTAGTGTTCATTACACTTTAGTTGTTCATTCATCATATATTCATCTTATGACGGATTTTGGGATTTATTGTCCTGAATAACTTTGTAAGGTGCCATTACCTCAGACAGTATTTAGGTACAGGTACATAAGTACAGTTATTATACCTAGTCAAATATGTAAATTACCCACCAGGATAACCTGAAAAAGTTGAAAAAAGTGACTTTCATTGTGGCCCACGATATGTTTTTTCATTTTGTTCTATTTGGTTAAATGATATTAGAATGTTTTAAGTAGGTAAGATATTATTATTCTCTCCTTACCATGACAGTAGTGCCAGTCGCTATTACTACAACTACGAAGGTGCTCACTATAGTTTATTTGTTTTATTGGAATTTGCATGACTAAATTGGTTATCATCATGTCCAATAATTTTTTATGGGGTATTACAAAATTGTTAAAATGACCACACACTATGCCAAGTACAGTATAATAATAGAAATTTACCATTTAAGATGTGGTAGTTTGTGCTGTAGACCTAGAGATAATATTTATTGAGAAAAAGGAACCTACAGATTTTGTTTTCTGGCAGGTTGTTGTATCAAGAACTAACTTGTCGCTGAGCTCCATCATCGTTACGAAACCTAACATTGTCTCCTAAAATAGCTGGATAGACATATTTTATTGGGTAAAGTTCATATGCTATTTTATTTGTTTTTTGAGCTAAAATATAAAATCTACTTTGCCATGTTTTTATACACAATACTGTATAATCTTTTACTGTATTTATATTTTTTCTCCTTGGTTAGGTCTTATTTAACATGCTCTTTTAGCCTTCCTTTTTATTTATGATTGGAATTCTTTTTCAGTAATTCATCTTTATGCTTTACCTGTGTGAGTAATTATTTATTTCTTATTACCTGTATGCATTTGCAAGAGCAGAATTATGCTCATTTATAGAGTCCTGTTTGTGTTGCATAATAGTGTTGCAGAAGTACCGTCAGCTCACACATTAGAAGTTATTTAAATTACTAATGTTTTCATTATGGAACTATGAAATAATTTATTCTCACACAGAATTTAATGTACTGAAATTCAGTATACTGGTACTATAGAGAAGGACGGTTAGACTGCGTGTTGTTGATGGTGTTGCGACTTCTGACATCACGCCTTTCTGGCATGGAAGGAGGGGAGCTGACTCGCGGGGAGGTACTGTCCCTGCTGGTGCGTCTGGCCTTTGCCACTGCTGCATCATACTTAACAGTGAAAGTTTTAGTGTCTGCTATGGACCCCACAGCTAAACAGAAGAAAGATGCCAAAAGGAAGGTTAGATTTATTGCATTAATATTAACTACAGTAGCACTAGCAGATAAAATGTGAAAGTGTTGATATAATGTGTTACAAATTGGAGGAGTGTTTGTAGTTGTACAAGAAGGTTGAAGTGTTGCATTTGAGGGATATCAGTCTGATGGAGAATATGATATTTACAGTGCTAGAATAAAGGAATTTGTCTGTATGTTAGTACTGTATTAAGAAGTATAGTACACTTCACTTCCCATATCCTCGAGTTCTGCATACAAGGCTTTGCTGACCAAGAACTGTGTTAATGTCCTAATATCTGTTTACTGATAACCAGGGGTTATCAGGCTGTTACGTACAGCTTTAAATATTCAGCCATTTTCCTTGTTTTGTTTCTGTGTAACATGCTGATTTTCTGTATTACAACTTACCAAACTTTTACTGTACATTATATGTATAGCATTTATGGATTGGCATTCATAAGAAATTAATATTTTCAGGCTCAGGAAGTGATGCAGAGACTTGGTATTAAGGAGAAACTATCGGTGAGTAATGGCTGTTGTTTAGAGTGATAGTCAGTGGAGGTTAAATTCAGCAGAAAACTTTCATAAGGTAGACTGTCTTGTGCCTACAGTAATTATACTCACAGCTTATTAAACAGAAAAAAGTGCTATGCAATATAAATTTTGTTGTTGATAAAAGCCCTTGCTTGTGTAATGTAATAGTTTCAAAAGTTGGGTAAAATGCTGGGATTATTTTAAAGGTAATTAAAGTCTTTGAAATTGTGAACATCTGATCCTAACACCTTAATGTGTACCGTGATTCTTCATAATGTCACCTGTGGCCACACCCTTAGTGCAGCATTTATTTTATCCTGTAAAAATTGTTGCCTCTTGTGGTATAACACTTAAGTATTTTTATAATGTTTGTATGAGAATTAACATTCTCTGTTAAAATGAAGCCCAGAAATACTTGCCAAGGGCCTCTGGATTTACTGAATATGAATGTGTTTTCAGTTTAACGAGTATGAGATGATGATTGCAAGTCAACTAGTGGAGCCGACACAAATGTCCACGTCGTGGAAAGATGTGGCAGGCCTCTCATCTGTCATTCGTGAGTTGCGAGAAACACTCATATTGCCCATACAGCAGAGAAATCGCCTACAAGCATCCAGGCTTATTCAGCCACCCAAAGGTATTAACGTTAATGGTGCTTTATGGGGGGGTCAGAAGCTCTGTTTAATGTAATGTTTTTGAATTCCAGTGAAAACGATGGCCTCTCTTCATTTTTTAAATCTTCCTTATAGTTCTTAAAATGTATACAACTTAGATTAGTATTGTCTTTTTTTCTTCTGGACTTATTTCTGTGTTACATAACTAATTTTGTATATGTATGTAGTTCACTGGCAAGTAGAGAGAGCTCTTGGAGTGCCTCTCCTGCATGTAGTTCATTGCTCAGCAGTATTCATCTCATCACAAATTTCTGATGTCTTTTTTCTTCATGTGTCTTTAATTTTGCTCCCCTTTTATGTACACTTTATTATTGTCAGCTTCACATATTTGTTAATTTACAGAGGGTTGGTCACTTATGTGGCACAGTTCTTTCTCACATAACCTACAATATATGCCAGACTGAATACAATGTAAGCCCTTCTTCTAGATGTTTTCATCATTCTTGCTTTCCATTCCAAGATCACTTCTCTCAGTCTCTGTACGGAATATACATTCATGATTTAACAGCAACTGTTTCCTCCCTGAAACTTTGTAACACATCTTGCAGCTGCTGTTTATATTTTGTTCTTTCATTCCACAAGTCTGTGCCCTGAATCAGTCAGATTATGTTTATGGGAAGTTCCATACCAGTAAGGGTCATTCAGTGCTACATGGAAGACGTGATAGAGGGAAAAAGAGGCATTGGTATTGGGAGGACATTGCCTGAAAGTAAAACTATAAAAGAGATGCTCATATTTATGAACACAAGACTCAGAAGTGTTTATTTTAAGACCTTGCATTAGGCTGGGAATTGTTTGCTGTGTATTGCCAAAAATACTGAACCTTTTGTACAACTGGAAATGCTGTTCAAAGTCGTATGTGTTATACTTAAGATGTCCTTTTTTTTAAACGTACTGGCTGTTTCCCACTGAGGCAGAGTAACCCCAAAAAAAAAGAAACTTTCACCATCATTCACACTATTGCTGTACTGCCAGAGAGACAGTTTAGATGTCCCTCCAAACAGCAAATATCCCAAACCCCTCCTTTAGAGTGCACACACCGTACTTCCCACCTCCAGGGCTCAAGTCCGGCTAACCAGTTTCCCTGAATTCCTTCACATCCCCCAAAAAATTATTCTCTCTAAATGTTGTAATTTATCTTCTGAACCTGTATTATTTTAGAACCAAACATTTTGATGTTGATTTCAGGTGTGTTATTACATGGTCCTCCAGGCTGTGGCAAGACACTCTTGGCTCGTGCTGTTGCAAAGGAAGCTGGTTCTCGTTTCATCAACCTAGATGTTGCATCGTTGACAGACAAATGGTATGGAGAGTCTCAGAAACTCTCTTCGGCAGTGTTTCTCCCTGGCATCAAAGATTCAACCCTGCATCATATTTATTGATGAAATTGGTAAAAGTGTTTAATTAATAAAATGTTAATTAAGTACACTGGTTAACCAGCAATTTATATAAATTGATGATTGTTAGGTTAAAGTTGTACAAAAAATGCTAAATTTTTCTTTAAGTAAAATGCTCATAACTAAGATTTATTATCTACCTTCATTACAGACTCGTTCTTACGTGTGCGTGCTTCTGGTGATCATGAAGCCACAGCCATGATGAAAGCACAGTTCTTGCAGCAGTGGGATGGCCTGGCCACTGACCATAGTCGCTGTGTCATAGTTATGGGTGCCACTAACAGACCACAAGATGTGGATCGTGCTATACTTCGCCGCATGCCGGCTGCTTTCCACATTCCTCTACCAGTTAGTGGCTTAATATCCATATTTCTCTGCAAATTCATTGTTTCCAGCATTTTTCTTAACAAACCATAGTTTGCTATCTCTCACTTTTCTCTTTGACATCAATCTGGTTCTGTCCCTGTGGAAGCTGAAACTTCGGCCAATATGCTGCTCCATCAGCCGATGGCACTGCTTGTTCCTTAGAGGAAACAAAACCATTGTGATACAGTTTGTGGCTTATGATTAGGATCCTATTAGTACTATGCTGTATTAGGATCCTATTAGTACTATGCTGTATTAGGATCCTATTAGTACTATGCTGTATTAGGATCCTATTAGTACTATGCTGTATTAGGATCCTATTAGTACTATGCTGTATTAGGATCCTATTAGTACTATGCTGTATTAGGATCCTATTAGTACTATGCTGTATTAGGATCCTATTAGTACTATGCTGTATTAGGATCCTATTAGTACTATGCTGTATTAGGATCCTATTAGTACTATGCTCTATTAGGATCTTATTAGTACTATGCTGTGACTCAACATGTTTCACATTATGCTGTTGAAACCTCTGACAGAGTTACACATACAGGCTGGTGTATTTCCCAGTTAACTAGAACATCCTCTTAGCTGGAAAAATACAATGACTATAGGATTTAAACATGTTGTATACTGTTAGATAAAAGGACACATGTTCAACTAATGTGACAGTTTGTTCTTGCAAAGTTTCACGCTCCAGGAGAGCTTTGTCCTGGGAAATGAAACATTGCTACAATAAAATGTTGCATGTGTCCTTTTACCAACATTATTACAACATGTCTTATACTGGTTGCAATTTACACTTCTTTTGTCTCCAAATTATAATTTTCTCATTGTACTATTAATAATTAATTTAAGAGTAGTAGTTTTCCATGGTATTGAGATGGAAATTCAGCTATAACCTGAGGCTCGTTTGCATGACTGCTGCTCTCGCCATAAAAATATTACAACATGTTCTGGATGAAGCCATAATCAGTGCAGCTTTAGCCCTAATGATATTGATCACAGTACAAGTTTTTTCTGGATGAAGTCAGGTTACATTCAAATAGTGTAATTTGAGTTTGCCAAAATTTAGCCTACCTGATTTTGAAGGAAAACATGATTTCTTAATTAAGAAATGTATTTGGAAGATAATTCCAGATATCTGAACACCTTTAGGGTAATGAACATTTCCTAATATTAACCCCTGATAGGTGTATTGAAATTTTTTTATTACCCTTTGTTAATTATATTCCCTGGTTGTAATAGCTCTTCTTACTGAAAGTCATATTTTGCTTTCTGTACCTCTTAAATATTTATAGGTTCATATAGATATAATTTTAGAGAGAATGGATCAAAGTAGAATGACATGGAGAGCATTTAAATCTGTAGGGGAAGGCGGGGTAGGGGTCGTCCTCGAAAAGGTTGGAAGGAAGGGGTAAGGGAGGTTTTGTGGGCGAGGGGCTTGGACTTCCAGCAGGCGTGCATGAGCGTGTTCAATAGGGGTGAATGGAGACGAATGGTATTTGGGACCTGACGATCTGTTGGAGTGTGAGCAGGGTAATATTTAGTGAAGGGATTCAGGGAAATCGGTTATTTTTATATAGCTGGACTTGAGTCCTGGAAATGGTGGGAAGTACAATGCCTGCACTCTAAAGGAGGGGTTCGGGATATTAGCAGTTTGGAAGGATATGTTGTGTATCTTTATACATATATGCTTCTAAACTGTTGTGTTCTGAGCACCTCTGCAAAAACAGTGATTATGTGTGAGTGAAGTGAAAGTATTGAATGATGATGAAAGTATTTTCTTTTTGGGGATTTTCTTTCTTTTTGGGTCACCCTGCCTCGGTGGGAGACAGCCTACTTGTCAAAAAAAAAAAAAAAGATATAATTTACAGTAACTTTCTAAATACAGTGGTCCCTCGTTGTTCATAATTAATCCGTTCCTGGAGCCGTTACTATAAACGAAATTTACGATTTACGAATCAATTTCCCCCATAAGAAATAATGTAAATACAATTAATCCGTTCCTGACACCCAGAAGTATTAAAACAAAAAATTTTTTAACATGAAATATGCATGTAGTACATAAACAATACAATGAGAAATGATGAATGAAACATTTACAGCATAACACTTACCTTTATTGGAGATTCTTCTTAGTGTATGGGAGACTGGAGGAGGAGAGAGAGTGGATTGTTTATAGTTTGGAAGGGGAATCCCCTTCCATCAACACCTCAGGTACCATTTGCTTTTCTGGGGTTGCTTCTCTTCTCTGTTTCTTAATGCCACTAGGACCACCTTGAGAGTCACTGGAGTCCTGTCTCACAAAATAACTGTGGAGAGAGCTCTGTTTCTGGCGTCTCTTTAACACTTCCCTAAAATGGCCCAAGACTTTGTCACTGTACATGTTGCCAACCTGGCTTGCAACAACCTTGTTAGGGTGATGTTTCTCCATAAATCTTTCCATCATACCCCACATGGTAAAAATCTCTTTAATTTCTGAAGAAGGCACCTTCCATCTCTCTTCCTCCTCCTCTGCAGCAAGATTCTGAGCTGCGATGTGTTGCTCTTCCTGCTGAAGCTCTTGCAGCTCCTCAGTGGTTAGCTTTTCATTGTGGTCTTCCACCAATTCTTCCACATCCTCCAAACTCACATCCAACCCCATGGAACTCCCCAGTGCCACAATTGATTTTACAACAGACATAGGCTCATTAGGGTCAGTCCCAAATTCTTCAAAATCCCTCTTGTCGACACAATCTGGCCACAATTTTCTCCAGGCAGAGTTCAAAGTCCTGGTAGTCACTCCCTCCCAAGCCATACCTATAAGGGTTATGCAGTGGAGGATGCTGAAGTGTTCTCTCCAAAATTCCCTTAGGGTCAAGTGAGTGTCTGTGGTCACAGTCAAGCACCTGTGAAACATTGCTTTTGTGTAGAGTTTTTTAAAGTTTGCAATAACCTGCTGGTCCATGGGTTGGAGGAGAGGAGTGGTATTCGGGGGCAAGAACTTTACTGTGATGAACCCAAACTCCTCGAAAATTAGGTCATCCAAGTTTGGAGGATGAGCAGGTGCATTGTCCATTACTAGCAGGCACTTGAGATCCAATTTCTTTTCCAGGAGATACTCCTTCACACTAGGGCCAAACACTTCATTGAACCACTCGACGAAAATTTCCCTCGTGACCCATGCCTTACTATTAGATTTCCAAAACACACACAATTTACTCTTCATAACATTGTTTTTCCTGAACACTCTGGGATTTTCAGAATGGTACACTAGTAATGGCTTCACTTTGAAATCCCCACTAGCATTAGCACAGAACATTAGCGTCAGCCTGTCTTTCATAGGCTTGTGTCCTGGCATTGCCTTTTCCTCTTGTGTAATGAAGGTCCTCTTTGGCATTTTCTTCCAAAAGAGGCCTGTTTCGTCACAATTGAACACTTGTTCAGGTTTCAGTCCTTCAGCCTCTATGTACTCCTGGAATTCATGTACATATTTTTCAGCCGCCTTGTGGTCCGAACTGGCAGCCTCACCATGCCTTACCACACTGTGTATGCCAGTACGGTTCTTAAATCTCTCAAACCAGCCTTTGCTGGCCTTAAATTCACTCACTTCACCACTATTTACAGGCAATTTCTTTACCAAATCTTCATGCAACTGCCTAGCCTTTTCACAAATAAACGAAGTCATAAGAGTATCTCCTGCTAATTGTTTCTCATTTATCCACACCAATAATAACTTCTCAACCTCTTCCAGTACTTGTGATCTCATTTTTGTCAGCATAGTTACTCCCTTTGCAACAACAGCATCCTTTATTTCATTTTTCTTGGCCACTATGGAACATAAGGTTGTGTAGGGTTTCTTATACATCCTGGACAGTTCGGCCACACTTGTACCACTTTCATATTGTTCAATGATGGTTTTCTTAAATTCAATCGTATTTCTCACCTTCTTTGCCACAGGCTTGGCACTAGGAGCTTTCTTTGGAGCCATGGTAGCTTATTTAGTACTTGCAAGCACTAAAATAAATGGAATATTATGAAATATTTCGCTGGAGCACGTGAGGGGACCTTCGCTCACTGGTAAACAATGCCAGACTGGCTGCCGCCCTGGCTCACGCCGTGGGTACACGTCCCGGACGAACTACGACTCGCGAGTCAACCAATGAAAAGCGAGTCCATGTTCATACGAAAATACCTCTTATGATTGGTGAATTTTACGATTGCCGGGAACTACGAAAAGCAGGGGACCACTGTATATATCTAGTGTAATTTTGATAACACCATTCAATGAAGTGATTGGGATATGAACCATTAGTGTGGCATTACCAGCCCAGATCACAGGTTTGAGTGACAATAATTATCAAATGGTTACATTCATTCATTATGAATTTTCAAGATATTGATAATACAGGCTCAAGTTTTGGGGCTAGATGTTTGCTGTTTACCTGTTATTGATGTCCTTAAAAGGATGACATGCTGAATATAAGGTTCCTTATTCACCCAACAACAAATTACTCTTTTATATTGTGAATAGAAGTGAATTAGTATCCAAGGAACTGCTATAGGAGGAGGAAGCAGAGAACAAGATGGGAGTATTAAGTAGCTAGAATTATAATTATTCTAGGTAGTAGGCTGGTAAACAGCAACCGCCCAGGGAAGTACTACCATCCTGCCAAGTGAGTGTAAAACGAAAGCCTGTAATTGTTTTACATGATGGTAGGGTTTCTGGTGTCTTTTGTCTGTCTCATAAACATGCAAGATTTCAAGTACCTCTTGCTACTTCTACTTACACTTAGGTCACACTACACATACATGTACAAACATATATATACACACCCCTCTGGGTTTTCTTCTATTTTCTTTTTAGTTCTTGTTCTTGTTTATTTCCTCTTATCTCCATGGGAAAGTGGAGCAGAATTCTTCCTCCGTAAGCCATGTGTGTTGTAAGAGGTGACTAAAATGCCAGGAGCAAGGGGTTAGTAACCCCTTCTCCTGTATAAATTACTAAATTTAAAAAGAGAAACTTTCGTTTTTCTTTTTGGCCACCCTGCCTTGGTAGGATACGGCGGGTTTGTTGAAAAAAAAAAAATATAATTATTGTTATGATCAAATTAAATACTAAACCCATAAAAGTCATACAGCGCTGTGAAGAGAGTCATGCGAAGGTTAAGAGTGAGTGAGCGGTACCGGAACGTGAAGCTGGAGTTAGTGGGATTGAGGATTAATTCAAGAAAAATTGAAATCAAAGCTAGAAATATAAGAAACTCTTCTGTTAATAATGGCTGTTTTAATTTGGTATAATAGTATTTGTTTTGGGTGTTTGTTCTTTGATTTTTTTGTTTGTTTTTCATCATGTATATTTGTTGTCTGTGAGTGCTGAGTGAACTACTCAAAGTGCTCTGTAAATGTCACAACTACTACTATTCCTCTTCTTAATTTTAAATATTTAAAGTTAATAAAAAATAGGAGTGATTCTTAGATACTGCAATAGGTCTACACAACTAACCCGCACATAAAAGAAGCTTAGGACGACGTTTCAGTCCAACTTGGACCATTTACAAAGTTGGACCGAAACGTCGCCGTAAGCTTCTCTCTTTTATGTGCGGGTTATTTGTGTATCGTTCCAGTCACGGTATTGTGCCTTTTTTGTTATTTATTTGCAATAGGTCTGTTTTCCCTCTACTGCTCTCTGAGGAATATTTTTTCAGGGATTGGAGCAGCGGGAAGACATCCTACGCTTGGTTCTGCATGATGAGTCCTTGGCAGATGACATTAACATTTCCAGCCTGGCAACACAGACTGAAAGTTTCTCTGGCTCTGACTTGTTAGAGCTGTGTCGAACAGCGGCTGTATACAGGCTGCGCCATTTGCTGAATGACACGTAAGTTACCATGAACTACATAATTGTTTCCTTCAAAGTTTATTGCAAAATAAAAGATAACGAAGAAAATTATTAATGGGGTGGCCACGAGCAGGTTTTCAGAGAAACAACATTTAAGATAAAAATAAAGAACATGTATGCTTATTTGTATATACCATTTACCTCACTAATGCATAAAAAAAAAAGTACAGTACATCTGTATAAGCATGTACATTGTGGTTGAGAATGCCAAATATGCCATATTTTATGGCATCAAAGACTATTTTTTCCCCAAAAGTCTCGAAAATCTACCCAGCATCTGGAGGCCAAAGTTCTGTTTATTTTATTTTTCAAAATTTAGCCATTCGGAATTGTGGGGGTGCCCTTGACACGGGACCGTCTTGTTCACCGTAAAATACTGTAATTTGTTTTTAGATTTTTACTACAAGTCGTGTAATGCTTAGCAAGTCTATCTTCCACAACTGAGACTTCCCCTACACATGCATTCAAATTGCTAGACTCTAAGAAGGTTGTGATGTGGTCCTGCATAGAAAGCTACCTAAGAAATTGGAGAAGGCTGGGGTAAAAGGAAAAGTACTGTATTAGCATGGATAAGGGAATACGGTAATATAGCAGTAGAAAGCAGTTACTACGAGGGATGAAACTTCAAGGTAGGAGAGTCTAACAATGAGATTTCTACAAGGATTAGTGTTGGACCCTGTACTGCTCCTGGCATATATAAATGACCTGGTAACAAAAGTTAATATTTCCTGTTTATCTTCATTTGTGATTTATGTAAATATGAAGTGAAGAGGAAGAATGAAGATTACATGAAAATATGAATGATCCTCAGGAATATGGTTGGACAGATGATTATTAGAATTCAACCAAAGCACAAGTTGATGAAGGTGGTAGATGAGGGAAATTAGGCAGAATACAGACCCATCCTTGAGTATGCAGTAATAGTGTTGAACCCATAGCTAGTAAAAGAAAGCAAATGTTGAGTGTGTAAATGAGAGCATCAAGACTAGTGCCTGAATTGAAGTTAATGAGCTACGAATGAAAGGGCTCTTCAAATTTCTCATTTTCCTTCCTTGCTATAGTAACCATAATATATCTCTTGCAGATCTGATCAAGGAGAAAGTGAACTGGCTACACAGCAGGAAAGGTGGAACACAGATAGTACAGAACCCCTGCGACCTATAACATCCCTAGACTTTAAACAGGCACTGAGCAAGATGCGAGAGTCACGGGTGTACAATAGACAAGCTAATGCTTTACTCAAAATGGATCTAGACTGAGTCTTGTGCTCCTTCAAGCTGCCATTGGTACCTACCATATTCTGTATTATCATCAGGGCAATGTAACAAATATACTGTAGTCTGTCGTGCAACATTTATAGACTAAAGGAGATAAGTATATAAAATTATTTAATCTTGATACAAATATTCGACTTCCATTTTATTTTATTGATACAAATTATTATTATAACCACAAAAAAGTCCTAAACCTATGTGGATAAGGGGTTAGGCCCCTGCTGTTTAAATTTTCTAGTTAGCCTAGCCTATTTTTTTAGCGTGAAATCTAATGGTAATAGTGCCATCAGCATATTCTAAAAATCTTAGGCATATTGCTTGAAAAGCAAAAATACGAAAACTAAAAACTAAGAAAAACACTACCTGTTTCCAGAAAAATGGAACAACATAAAAACATTCCAGCTGGGACATATCATTAAATGCCCTAAATGACTTGATAAGATCCAATTTGTATGTGTGGCCATTTTTTTAACATGTCAGCTGTCTCCCACTAAGGTAGGGCAACCCAAAAAAAGAGGAAATACAATCATCCTCAGTCACTGTCTTACTAGAAGTGTGATACCACAATTCAGATGAACCTCCAAACTACAGCATCCTCATCCCTCCTTCAGAGTGCAAGCACTATGTTTCCCACCTCCAGAACTAAAGTCTGGCTAACCAATTTCCATGAACCCCTTCACTAATATTACCATGCTTAAACTCAAAATAATTTGTCAAGTCAGAAAAAACATTTATCTCCACTCATTCCGTCCCTTTCTGGGATGACTCTCATCCCTCCTTCCACCCCCACGTTTGTATACCAACTTAGTCATCCTATCCTGCTTTAACCTCGAAATGCCCATTCCACCTCAACAACCCCTCATCAGCCCTCTGAAGTTCCTTTCTTTTATCTGAATTCTGTTCCTTTCATATGCTACAACACTTGATCTGTACATTTCCTTCTAAATCTTCCTTGTTCCTCTGCAATCTTACTCTATCTTTCCCTTAACTATTTCAATAATAATTCTCCCATACACTTAAACTAGTATACTCAATTCCCAAAAATAACACAGAAAAATTCACTCCTAAGTTTTTGCTTAAATTCATATAAAATTATTTAAAAGTAGTGATAATGTCTTGACTTTATTTTGTAGAACTGTCATTTATCTAAAAGCTTAGTGAAAATTAAAGTGGTAGTTCTATAATTAAGTTTGGAAATTAAACAAATTGTAGTGAAAAACTCATGGCAGCTGCCACCCCAGCATGCTGCAGAGTTCAGCCACCTACTGACGTCTCTTGATTCCTTGTTGTGGCTCAGTACACACATATGGCAGAGTTGCCCGTATGTAAATTTGATGATACTGTATATTAGTGTATGCAAAAATTCTGAACAGGCAACAAAAGATGTAAAACGACTCCTCCGTGGTTGTTTTGCATACTAATGTATCAAATATGCAAAGCTATAAATACATACAAAATTACCTGCAGTCTTTTCCTGACATTTCATTAGTGGTGACATCATAAATCTAAATTTGCAGTTAGCTTAAAAAAAAAAAAAAAGATACTCGGAAGTACCATAATGAAATACATAGTTTGAAAGACTAAAATGTTGCTCACAAATAGAAGAAATTTATTAAACCATTTCTAAGAATTTCTACATTTTTTCCATAATTTTGTATCACACTTTAGGGTCAGGCCTACCCCCATAAAATAGAAGCAGAATTCATGGTGTAAAAAGTCAGTACATATATGTAGTACAGTGCTCCCTTGTTTATCGTCGTTAATCCATTCCTGGAAGTGCGACGATTATCGAAATAGACTATTTTCGAATCAATTTTCCCCATAAGAAATAATGTAAATACAATTAATCCGTTCCTGACACCCAGAAGTATTAAAACAAAAAAATTTTTTACATGAAATATAGATGTAGTACATAAACAATACAATGGGACGTGATGAATGAAACATTAACAGCATAACACTTACCTTTATTGGCGATTCTTCTTAGTGGATGGAAGACTGGAGGAGGAGAGAGATTGGATTAGTTACTGTTTGGAAGGGGAATCCCCTTCCATCAACACCTCAGGTACCAAGTCCTTTTCTGGGGTTACTTCTCTTCTCTGTTTCTTAATGCCACTAGGACCAGCTTGAGAGTCACTGGAGTCCTGTCTTGCAAAAAAAGTGTCCAGAGAGCTGTTTCTGGAATCTCTTTAAAACTTCCCTAAAATGGGCCAGGACTCTCACTGTGTATGCCACTACTGCTCTTAAATCTCTCAAACCAACCGTTGCTGGCCTTAAATTCACAATTATCAGTATTCGTTGCAGGCAATTTCTTTACCAGATCGTCATGCAACTGCCTAACCTTTTCACAAATAATCGACGTCATAAGACTATCTGCTGCTAATTGTTTCTTGCATATCCACACAAGTAATAACTTCTCAACATCTTCGAGTACTGGTGATCTCATTTTTGTCAGCATATTTACCCCCTTTGCAACAACAGCTTCCTTGATTTCCTTTTTCTTGGCCATGATGGAAGATATGGTTGTACGGGATTTGTTATACATCCTGGCCAGTTCGGCCAAACGTACGCCACTTTCGTATTGTTCAATGATGTTTTTCTTAAATTCAGTCGTATTTCTCACCTTCTTTACCAAAGGCTTGGCACTAGGAGCTTTCTTTGGAGCCATGGTAGCTTATTTAGCACTTGCAAGCACTAAAATGAATGGAATATTATGAAATATTTCGTATGAACAAGTGAGGGGACCGTTGCTCATTGGTAAACAATGGCATACTGGCTGGGAAGGGAGGCCGAGGTGGCTCAGAGCCGTGAGTACGTGTCCAGGACAAATGACGATTAGCGAGTCAACCGACCATTTGCGAGCCAATGTTTGGACGAAAATAACGCGACGATTTCTAAAAAGGACGACTATCAAGCCCGATGATTATCGAGGGACCACTGTATATGATTGCAGTTAATAGGGTCTTCTTGTTTAAATGAAGTACCATTTTAAATTATAGTATAGATTGAGCCATCCTGCTGGGTTGTTGGAGAGATTTCCTGTTGTATTCATGAGGACAATGTAGCTGACAATATACTTTAATAATATTGGGCAGTCAATGATGCTGTTACCTAACAAAACTATTATAACATAATTTAAAAATATATTAGTGTAGCTGACTTACTATATTCACAAAAAGAGGCTAAACCTTTCATTTTAACATAAAATTAATTATAAACTTAATGTGGAATTTATTCATTTTTTCATTTATAAAAACTGAATAATTGCAAAGTCCGTACTTTCTTTTATTCATTTTTTCCACACTAGCCTTCTCCCATTGAGATAAAATTTGATATATTATTGCATGGCAATCTCAAACATTCTGTTAATATGCTCAAATGTTTTTATTTTTTAAGCAAGTTTTATAGAATTAGCAACAGAATAACAGTAAAGTTTAATTTTGAGACCAGTAAGATAAGTTATTGCACTTACATTTATGAGGATGCACTAAAATCCAATTATGGTATTATATTTACAGGGAAGCCCTCATCAATAAGCCAAAGACTGGCGCAGTTACTTTAGGTAGCATAGAAAAATAGATTTGTAGTCCCCCCCCCCTTTTTTTTTTTTTTTTCTTGCTGGCATGGGCATAAATTTTTATCCCAAAATTTGGAATGAAAAAAAGAATTGGTCTCCTGATTACAGCACTTGCAGTGATAATGGTTCGGAGGGATGCAAAAAAATTGTCTAGGATCTCCAATTTGCTTTTTATTGTTTGAAGTGGATTGACTTCTTGTTGAATTTGTTTTTTGAGTTTTCTTTTTTTAGTACCCCTTTGTAGCACTGTACATACAAATTTCATTTAATGTGTTTTTTGCTTTATAGAGAAAAATGAGGCCTTTCTGACTTGTAAGATTTTAAAATTTTTAAAGCTTTCCCAATTGAAGATCGTACGGGGCTATTTCTTTTAATGACAAAAAAAAAAGTTTATATTAAACAAAAAGGGAAAATGAGTTCTGTCAGGGGGGTAGAAATTTTGTTATTCAGAAAGTATTTTAGCATTTTTTAGCTTAATTGGTCACAAATGACTTTAAATAATTGTTTTATTTTAGTTTTTTTTTTTTCCCCCTTCATGAGCATTATAGCACCGGGGAAAATGAGTGACCAGTTTGATCCAAGGAAGAGGGGGGAATAGTCCAGTTCCATGGAAAAAGAGCACCATGGCTTTTTAAAGAAGATTCATATTTTTAAAAAAGATGTGTTTCCCCATAATGAAAAATTAAAAATATCTTTAAATTTTTCCCTCCCCTCTCTCCAGTTCCCGAATTAAGCCTAAATCCCTTCCCACATCCCCCCCCAGGCGCGTATAATCTCGGGTTTAGGTTTCCCCCCTTGATTTAATAATAATAATCCTAACCCTTCAGAATTGTTCTCCTTTTTACAGTAATCTCTCTGGTAATTGCTCAAAAAAAATAGAAATGGGGAAAGTAGACCCATTTAACTTCATATATCATGAAATTTTAGGTGGGGGTTTTTTCACTTCTGGGTTTTTGCATTGTTTTTTGTGGGAAAGAGCTAACCCATAGGGTCATTTATTATTATTATTCAAAAAAAGCGCAAAGCCAAAGGGTATACAGCGTGCAGGGTAGGAAGGAAGAAAGGGGAAATTTGGATGGCAAAAGGGAGGGGGGATGATCAGCAGGTTACAGAAAACAGGGGGGAGGGATGGGACGGGGGAGGGTAGCAAGAGATACAAGTGAAAGGGCTGAAAGTTCAAAATTTGGAAGAAAGTCTCTTTTGTCAAAATCAATGAGAGAGCCCGGGGATGAAGGTGGGTCCTCACGAGAAGGGAAGGAAGAGGAGCAGGGGGGCGAAGACGACACAGGGGAAAATTCGCGTGCTCGTTGATAAATGGGCGTCCAACAAAATGTGGTGACTGATAATGGAGTTGGCAATTCTCACAGAGAGGGCAAGCGCCCCCCCCATGAGATATCCATGAGTAAGACGAATGGCCAATGCGAAGACGGGAGAGAGTAGCTCCCAACCTCGCACTGGTGAAAGAAACGGCCAGTAACCTTACTGGGTTTTAAATAGCTGAATTTGTTGCCGGCATGAACCAAGTTGTTCCCAAAGGGTGTGGGGGTGGGAAGATATTACAGAAAATATCCGACATGGAATACCTTATAAGAAACTGTAGGTCATGTACTGTGACCGCGCGCGTGTC